ATGGTATTGTTGGCAACACAAAAAGTTTGAACTTTGATGAAATTTATATTTCATTTATATACTTCTTTCTTTCGTTCCTTATGCTTCCAGAATGTATTTGCCTAACTCAAGGACACCAAGACTCACTCCTGTGTTTTCTCCTAGGAGTTTTATTGGGGTGAGGTCTATGATCCACCTTGACTTATTTGCTGAGTTGTTAACATATTAAGTAAAAGATCTGGCAGCGGGTCTAACATTTCTGTGATTCGGGAGATGAGTGTACATTCTATCCTGAGCCCTTTGCAGCCACTGTAATGTGATGAGACAGTGTCACGGATCCTATGAGTGACACAGTCACAGCCATTGCTAATACCGCCTACATTCGTAATTGAAGAAAATGCTGGATTTCACGTAAAGTTCATAAAGCTGTAATTATCCTCCCAGGTTGGTCCAGCGCCCCCCCCCCCCCCCCCCCCCCCCCCCCCCCCCCCCGAATGCTATCCACAGATTGCCGGTTAAGAACTCCTGGGGTGGCTAAAATTCCTGCCTCAGGTCCCAGTTTCTGAATAGTCTTGAGGGGTTAAACCCTCCCAGGACCGGCTTCCGGGCTGTTTTCCTGCCACCCCAGCCCCAGTTCCCTTTGCCCTCTGCCTGGGTCCACACTTGGGGAGGCTGTCTCTCGCCAAGCAGAAGTTTCTAACAAGGCGAGGCTGCAGAGCCGTGTGGCTGGGAAGTGCCCGCTCCTCCACTGGCTGGATGACTTCCTCCCCGGGCACCTCGGTTTGCTTCCCTGCAAGGCATGGGTGCGCCGGTCAAAAATGTGTTCACCCAATGGGCTTGGTGAGCTGATTAAGTCAGCTCAGGATTTCAAGGCTGAGCGCAGAACCGGGCACACAGGTACATCCTCCAAATACCAGCTAGTACTATGCCTTTCACAGGAGATGGGAGGGCGCTGTTTCCTCCGCCTACATATTCTTTCCCTTGTTTTGCACCAGGTTAATACCCAATTATTTGTTCCAGGAATCTTTGAGTTCTAACAGAAACTCAAAATACTCAACTTTTTTTTGAAAACAATTTTTTTAATGTTTATTTTTTTGAGAGAGGCAGACAGAGCAAGCAGGGGAGGGAGAGAGAGAGAGAGAGAGAGAGAGGATCTATGCTCTGAGCACTCAGCACAGAGCCCTAGGAGGGGATCGAACTCACAGACTGGGAGATCATGACCTAAGCCTGAACTGAACTGAAGTCAGACACTTAGCTGACCCAAGGGCCCCCAAATGCTCAACTTTAACGGCCAGTATTTCAGGCCTGGTTGATAGGGTGTGGGGAGGAGGAGAGTTCAAAACATCCCATCAGGACTCAGCCCTCCTCTTTCCACAGGCTGGTTGGGTAGGGGTTGCTCCCTTGAGCAGGGCCTGGACAAGCCCCGGCCACATACCACAGGGCGCCTGAGCACAAGCCCTGGGAACCTGGCCCACCTGCCCGGGTCCAGGTCCTCTCCAGGAGGCTCCAGGCTTTTCTGGGCCTTAGAGAAGGCTCTTTCCTAAGAGGGTTTGAAAAGTTCTGGAAAGGGCCATGATTGGCCTGGCTGGGTCATGTGCCAATGCCTGAGGCAATCACTGCAGCCAGGGGGCTGGGGAGCTCTGATTAGCCAGGTCACCTGCTCTTCAGGCCCCCAAGCCAAACTCCCCAAGGAGGATGTTGGGGAGGAGCTTATGCCAGGGAGATGCTGGGCCGATAAAATTCAAAGACCTCCCCCTCTTGCAGGGCTTATAGCAAGTCTTGGTCAGATCTCACTTGTTTCAGGAATCTTCGCCTCACTGGGATTGGCTCCTGCTCTGTGCACCCACAGCAGTCTGTGTCTTCTATCATTCACTTCTCACTCAACAGAGTTTTAATGAGCACCTGCTCTGCACCATGCACCGAATCAAGGGAGGGATGGAGGCCGCAAAGGGGACTGCAGGGAGTGGCCTGTGAGGTAGGAGGACCTCAGGCATCCTGAGGGCTAGAAAGGTCAGGGAGTTTCCAGAAGGCGGAATAGTGGACTCAGGTACTGTGGAGGAGCTCTGGAAACCAATAAATGACCGCTGGCTTTGGCAGCCTGGAGGTTGTGAGTGAGCTTAGCAAGAATTGAGTGGGGACACAGCCCTCCTAGGGTGGGGTAAGGAGAATCAAGGAAGGAAGAAAGGAAGGAAGGGGGTGGGGAAGGCAGGTATAGACACATCTTTGGAGGTTTCTGTGGGGTTAGTAGAGAAATGGGGAGAAGGTTCAGGGGAATTGGGAGCAAGGGAGAATTATTCCCTTTCTTTGGAAAATGCTGACCCAGGGGGAGAGAGAGAGCTTGAGCGCACAGGAGACCAGCAACGGGAGGGCAGTGGGAGGTGGGTGCCCGAGAGCAAGATCGCAGTGGGAGAGCCTGAAGCGGAGGCGGAGGCTGGGGGGGTGTGAGTGCTAGGTGGGGACATGGGCCGGTCTGGGGACCGGAAGAGGAGAGACATCCCATCTGATGGCTTCAGCTTTCTCACTGAGGAATGAGGTGAGGTGGCTGGCTCACAGTGAAGGCAGAAGAGCTGTGGGAGGTGTAAGGAGAGGAGAGAAGGTGGGATATGTTGGTCTCAGAGAGTGGGAGAGAGTGTCACTGAAAAACACGGTCGGCTGCTGACTGTGTGGAGGGCCAGTTTGAAGTCTGAGGTCACAAATTCCCCAATCACAGGAGTTGGGTGGATCTCTTACCGGTCCTCCACGGCCCCCAAACAATAGGTAGGGGCAGGAAGGGGCTTTTCATAAAGTTGGAAGGGTTCCCCATGGTGAAGGAAGATCAGGGCTGGGGAGATGGACTGTATAAAAATTCACTAGGCCAGGAAGTAGTTACTATTCTCTGTTTTTTTCGGATGAGGAGGCTGGGAGGGTCGTCAGTATGGTATCCGTGTGGCTTTGGGTTCAAACTAGAGAGGGGCCTGGCACATGTTGAAGTAACTTAGGTGTTAATATTTGTTGAAAAAAGTGAATGGTTGGATAGTCCAGTGATGTAGCCACAGCCAGGAAGTAGCCTGACCTTGGGGTTTGGTGGGTGGCACTCATGACCCCGTGTCGTGTCACCCCTGCTGCCCTCATAAAGGACTCAATCGCCTTTGCGCTGTTGTAGGCTAGTCATTCCAGGAGCTGGTGGTAGAACTTCATAGACACCAAGTGAGCAGGGCAGAGTGCTCTTAACCTCATTCCTTACACAGTGCTCACCTCCAGATGAGTCATAGAGGCCCTCAGCCAGGTGGCCCAGCCCGGGAATGCCACCTCTGCTTCCTAACCCTGGGCTTTGCTGTCTGAACCCTACTCAGGCCAGCGGGTGGGGGGTATCCCAAGGGCATACATCTGCACTGCCTGGGGGCTCTCCAATGAGAGGGGTATCCTTTTAAGGGGAGTCCTGGAGATGAGACCCTGAACTTGGTGTGGGCGGGGCTCCTCCTCCAGGGCTCCCAGCCATTTAAGCAGAAGTGAACGTGGTCACATCACTGAAGTTAATAACGATGGTTCATGCTGCACAAAAGGTGGAAGCGAACACTCTGCTTATTTATTCAGGTTTTAAAAACATAAAACTCCAGATTTCTCCCTGCAGCTATTTATATCTTGAGCTGGTGTAAACTGTCCCCCTATAAAGCTCAGGTTTGAAGTAACTTAGAAGAAAAATAGCTATTCGTTGCACTAAGAAAAATCATTTATAGACCTTCTCTTGTCTCCTTATTATGCAGGATCAGCGCGCTGTGGTGGGGGAGCTGGGGGAGGTGGGACTGACACCGACCCCCAGGGGCGTCCCACGCTCCCCCCAAACCCAGCGGTAAAGCAGTCCCCGGGCTGGGTGGTGATCACACTCCGGGCTGGGTCGTGCTCTCCCCCTCGCCGGGAGCTCGGCGTGGACCAGAGCAGGCAGGGCAGGCGGCAGATCCGGAAAAGTGGCTCTTGCCTGGGAGGAAGTTGACCCTCCTCCACTACCAAGGGCTTGGGATGAAAATAGCTTCTTCCTCTTTACCCTTCCTGGCCCCAGCCCGTTTCTGTGAGTCCTCCTCCCCATTTCGGCAAGTGCCCCATCCCGCAGGGACGATTCGGCCCCTTCACTGAGGACCTACCCGCCATCAGCGATGGCAGGAGACCCGGGACCCGGACTCTGCGTCCGGGCAGGGTCCGCTCGGGCCCCTCGGTCCGGGCCCCTCGTACACTGCGCGCCCGCAACCCGGGCAACTGCGGCGACTTCCAGCCTCCCCCCACCCAATTAGCAGAAGCCTCCACAACCCTCTGAGCCCCCACAGTGCTTCCTTTCCTTTCAGGGGAGGCTGTCACCTGGGAACCCTGTCCCCTGCAGCGGGGACCCCAGGCGCCGAACCACCCCCAAGTCCCTTGGGAAAGGTGTGGGCGCAATTAGTTTCTTCCAATTAGTTTCCCTCTTTGTATTGAACCCATTCAAATTGTGACTGTAATCCTCCGCGCGAGGGGGAAAATAGTCCCGACCTTGCCTTCAATTTCTGTTCTCGCGTCGCGCATATTTTACTTTTTGAAGCCAGCTGGACTCTCAGAGGGACCCTTCGCTGAATGTGGGGGCAGAGGCTGCGGGGGGTGCGCGCAGGTGAGGGGGTGGGGGCCGCAGCGGAGGGAGGGGGCGGGGAGGGCAGCTAACTCCTCGCTATTGCCTAGAGAGATGGATCATGGGGCGTAGAGAGATTGCAAACCTCAAACCACGTACAGCGGGCGATACGCGTCAACCGAACCTGACCAACGGAAGCCGGGAGCCTCCCCCTCCCCGAGCTCCCGCCCCCGTCCCTTGGACAGACGGGCGCGCCGAGCCAACCGCGCTGCCGCTCGCCGTCCGAATCCCACAGAAGCCAATGGGAGCGCGCGGGGGGGGAGGAGCCGGCTCACGTCGGGTCGGGCTGCGCGCGGCTTTCCCCCCAACGCCCCCCCCCCCCCCCCCCCCCCCCCCCCCCCCCCCCCCCCCCCCCCGCTCGCGGCTCCCGGAGTAGTTAGTGCCAGTGAAGTGCGGGCGGCGATGAGAGCGAAAGTTGCGCTCGCCTCGGCGCTGGGGGCTTGAAGCCGCACCGCGCTCCGCCCGGCCGGCCTCCCCCGGCTCCGACTCGCGCCCGCGGGTTCCCGCCGCGCCCGCCCGGCCCCGCGCCCTTCCGCGCTCCTCCCCCACCTCCCCCCCCCCGGCCCGGCGCCCCCTCCTCAGGAGCCGCGGGGCCCCGCCACTTTCGCCGGGCCCCGGCCCCCGCCGATGCCGGCCATGGTGGAGAAGGGCCCCGAGGTCTCAGGGAAGCGGAGAGGGAGGAACAACGCGGCCAGCGCGGCCGCCTCGGCCGCCGCCGCCTCGGCCGCCTCCGCCGCCGCCGCCTCGGCCACCGCCTCCGCCTCGGCCGCCGCCGCCGCCGCCGCCTCCGCCTCGGCCGCCGCCTCGGCCGCCGCCGCCCCCAATAATGGGCAGAATAAAAGTTTGGCGGCGGCGGCGCCCAATGGTAACAGCAGCAGCAACTCCTGGGAGGAAGGCAGCTCGGGCTCGTCCAGCGACGAGGAACACGGTAGGTGGCAGCCGCCCCGCGCCGCCCCCGCGCCCGCCCGCCCGCGCTGACCGCCGTGCTCTGCTTCCCCGCAGGTGGCGGCGGCATGCGGGTCGGACCCCAGTACCAGGCGGTGGTGCCCGACTTCGACCCCGGTGAGTAGCGCCCCCGGGCCCCGCGACCCGAGGGGGCGGGGGCCCCCGGACAACTTTCTTTTTGTGTGTGTTCGCCCTGCTGTCCGCGGGGAGAACAGCAGGGCGAGAACGGGGAGGAGAGCACACGCCCGCGCGTGGTCCGCGAGCGCGCCCCGGGGAGGCTCGGGTCGCCCCCCGGCCGGGTCGCTGCCCCCTGGCCCGCGGCGCCCCCCGCGCGCCCGGGGTCCGGGCCGCCTGCCCCTCGGCCGGGGGTAGGGGCGGCGGCGCCGGAGAGTTAGCGTGCTGCGAGCGCCCCGGGCTCGGGACGGTCCTCCGGCCGGTCTGCGCCCTCCCGGACGTCGCGGCACTTGCCTTTGCCTCCTCCCGCCGGCCCCCGGGCTTCTGCGTGCCCCTGCCTCCCCTTCCAGCCCGAGGGGCAGTAGAGAAACGGCCCCCCCAAATCAGTTAAGAAGTGTGAGCTTCCCAGAGGGCGCCTGCCTGGGGAAGAGGCTCGCTCGTGGCGGTTCGGTTTTAGGACCTATTTGTAAATGTCCGTGTGTTTCCTTTTTTGTTTTGTGGTGTTTTTCTGGGAGGAAGGGGCTGTGAAAGAATAGGACCCTGGGAAGCGTTAGCCCAACGAGCGGTTTCCACCCGAGAGGTCCCTCCACCCTAGAATGGAACATTTACTTTCCTTGCTGCTGTTGTGCGTGGAAGCGAATTTAAAGTGGTACCAGAAAAAAATCTAATCAGACAAAGGAATTCGTCAGATTTTAGTGCGAAGAGTCTAGCCCGGCTCTCCACGAGACTGTTCTTTAAAGATTGTTGGCATAGAAGATGTTTGAAAGGACTTGGGTTTTAGGAAATAAAATTCGACAGAGAATCTTGCAGAAGTGGAGTTAACAGGCTTTCTGGTTGGAGGGCTTTAGAGCTGGAGGGGATCTATGTAGGTTACACCGCTCGTTTATTTGAGAAAATAAATGCATAACCGCCTTTCCTTGGAAACAAGACTGCAGAAATTGTGAGAATCTAGTCCTTGGGAAAGGAGATTGCTCTGGAGCTGTTGATCAAGGTACTAAACTCTGGGTGTTCTTTGAAGTGAAAATACACAGGGTCCCCGAGTGAGCTTTTGGGCACTCTGGGAATAAATGACCTTGCCCATATTTGCTTTCTCAGTTTTAGTCAGTTGATTTAAATCTCTTACGTTTCTGTAGTCTAACACCCAGGTTTGTATCCCTTTTTAATTCCTGTTGGTCTTTTTGATCGGTTCCCCTTCCCCCACATCTTCCTTTTTTGGTAGTGACTTCTCATTTACAGGAGTGACAGAACGGGGAGACCAGGCTTTCTCTCTCATGTGCACGCCTTCTCCGTTCCTAGGTTGGCCACCAGGGGAGGCATCCTGTTTGTTGGTTACAGTTGACCCCATCTTCATTTTGTAGGTCAAGTCCATCTTTGTTTTAATACACAGAACGGGAAGCAAAGGTGGTCACCAAGTTTCTCACACGTATTTAAAAAAAGTCGACTTGCGCGGATCTTTTAGTTTTAGTAAGTCAGTCGATTTTTAGCACGTTTTGGTTTTGTTGGTTTTGAAAGCTTTACTTAAACATGTTGGATGTGACTAAGGAAATGGCAACACCAGGAATTAGATTTCTGACGTTCTTCTAAATGCTGATGTCAGTAGCGAGCCTGACTTTGGGTTTGTTCTCTTCTTTGAAACCGCAAATGTGGTGGGATCATATCTTGAGCTGTCCTTGTAGTTTTCCATGGGGTAGGTACCAGTGTGCATTTGCCAGAGGCCTGCCGTTCTAAAAAGTAAAACATGCTAAATGTTCTGCACGGTCTGCCTGCCACTTGATTGGGTTTTGGTATTAACATTTACAGATTTCCTATTTTGTGTTTTAATCTGGAAAGGAATCTAACTGGTATGAAATAATTTTAAGCCCTCTTTTGCCAGTCTGAGCAGTGGGACACATTCATAGATGTGGCTGAAAATTGTGGGACCTTATTGCTTCTTAGTGATTGTTTTTGGTGTGTTCTTATATGGAACTTAAGATCTAAGGGAATAGGAGACTTCCATTTTGGAACAGAAGTGGCGCGCCAGATTTGTTTCCTCCCCCCCCCCCACCCATGTTTATTAGGTCCTTAGATTGAAAGGTTCTTTCCATGCGTGCAAGCTAGGAGTACTATGGGATGGAGACTGGGATTGTTAGTGCTGTGTCCTTTCTCCTTGCCTGAGTTTGGAATGCATTTTTTTTTTTTAACCAAAATTTGAACAAGTGAATGTGAAACTCCTCAGAGAGCTCTTTTTTCTTTTTTCTTTTTTTTTTTTTTAATTGGTGAGTTAGAGTCCACTGTCAGTAGAAGTTGATTTTAATTTTTTTAAGTCGGCTTTTATTGACCCAAATTATCCCAGGTTGAGCCTATTTTGCTTTAAAAGCAAATGGTTGAAGCTGAGAACATCTGATGTTCCCTGTATAGCCCAAAGAAGACCTGTTTCTGTCATCCCTTACAGAATAGTGAGTGAAACGGACTGAGCTCTGTAGTGCTAAAACACTGATTAGGTTCTCATAATCAAATTGAGACCCAGACTAGATTAGTGGACTGTGGCATAACTTGGCAATTAAAATACCATCTATGTTTACAATGATAGGAAACATTTTATCAATTCGTTTTGAAAACAAGAACCAGACTGTGGTTCTCCATCTTTAACTTAGCCTGGCTTTGTTCCCGCGTATGGTGTCCAGATTCTTTCCATACCCCATGCCGCAGTGTATGTTGTCATTGGGGCCTTAGAATTTGGTAATCGTAGAATAGAGTAAGGAGGAATGCTTATTCTGTCCTACTTCTGGTAAGTTATTTCTTGTACGTACTTGTGAAGCATAATTTAATTTCAAATGAGTAGTGTTTTTCTATATAAAGATGTGAATGTTTTCCCTGATCTTACCGGTAAGCATGCAAAGGAAGGAGTCGGTTAGTCTGTATATTTCTACCCCTGCTTGGTGCTCTAGCTAGAGACACACAGGGACAGGATTTTAAGGTTGACTCAAGTTCTTTGTTTTCTGAAGCGTGTGTTTTTATGTCCACTTTCATCCTGTGTTGGTTGTGGACTGTGGTAACCACAGTTCACTGTACTAAAATTAAGACCCTTAAAGAAGAAGCTGTTAATGGCCAATCTTTTGGAGAAAATAGTCCTTTAAAAAAGCAACCTATATTTGAACATGGAATCCAGTTTCGTCAGATTTGAAATTTTGGGTTGTCATTGGCTCAGCTTGTCACTTAAGAGTTGATTTCTGTTAGTAAAATGCGTTATGCTTTAATGGGGAATAGATTTACTGAACAGGAACTCTCGACCTGTTTTTTTTTTGTTGTTTTTTTTAAGGCTGGTTCTGTGTTCCTTTTGAACACATTTTCTGTGCTTTGGTTTCATTGTAAAAATAAATTTTATAGATATTCTAAAATTCACAGGTTACGGTGATTATTTGGTGATTTAAACATACTTTGAGGCAGCGTTCCCCCAAGTGAGAGGTTAGGGTAGTTAGTGATAGATCCTGTGAGATCAGCTTTGTTAAGTAGGGTTGTGGGAGACACCTAAATCGAGCTGTCAGGAGATTGAATGCCCTATCTCCGTGACTAAGCAGGTGGTAAAAAGTGGAGCTGGTCATTATCGCCAGGAACCTCAGTTTCCTCAGTCGTGAATCAGGGGTTCTCTGCATCCCTAATAGTCTACGATTATGTCAGTTTTAGTCCTTGTAATTTCGTGTTTCTTTCAGAAGCATCGTAGAGTAGAGCGTGGGCTGGGAGACTTGTCAGACCTGGGTTTGGGTCCTGGCACTGCCTCTTTCCAGCTCTGTATTGACCCTGGGCAAGTTCTTTCACTTTTTTTTAAGCTTATTTATTCATTTTGAGAGAGAAAGTGTGTGTGGGTGCATGCAAGTGGTGGAGGGACAGAGATGGGGAGAGAGAACCCTAAACAGGCTGTACATCGTGAGTGTGGAGCCCATCTCGGGGCTGGAACTCAGGAATCATGAGATCATGACCTGAGCTGAAAGCAGGAGTTGGTCGCTCAACTGACTGAGCCGCCCAGGCATCCCAGGTTACTTCACTTTGCCTTCATCTGTAAGATAGGTAATAGAAGCTTCTTCCTCAAGAGAAGGAATTAATTTACACACGCGAAATTCCTAGCCCAGTGCCTGACGCACAGTGAATGCTAAGTAAATGTCTGCGATTGCTATTTTAATTATCGTTCATGTAACTTAGGTTGCCAGCTAGTGGCCCTTGTGTCGCTGGCTTTACTTGGAGGGAAGACTGGGTTATAATGAAGCCATTGATTTGAATGCAAGTCATGCACTGAGATACTTGAAGATGATTGTTTTTAAGACACATGTATTTGCTACAGTTTAGGTATATAAAGATAGAGAAGGAGTCCAAAACATTTACAGAGCAGAAAAGAATACTGAGGACCAGAGAGCATAGGTAATTCAGATTAAGTTTCTACATTGTACTAAATAAAGGCACCTTGAATCCGTCCCTGGGCCAGGGGGGTGCACATTAGTGTTCACTCTAAACTTTGAGGCTCTTGTCATTGAGAATTAGGGGGGCTCTTTCACCATGGTCCCTCTTCCTCGGGTGATGACTGTCACTCAGAGATTAGCTGGTTGAAGCCGACCAGAACTTAGTTGTTTTAGAATCAGTGTTAATTTGTACTGAAGACATTTAGGCTTATGTTTAGAAAGCCATCTTCCTTGGTATTATAGGGTTTTGTGGGGCAGTTTAGTTGAAAAAGTCTGAAGTCTTTGGAGATGAAATATCAAAGTTCTATCCAAGTTACTGCATTTTCCCCCAGGTTGTCTTCTTCTTCTTTCCTCTTTACAATACAGGTTGTTGTAATGAGTTTATGGGTCAGCCCTCACTTTGTTTGGAGTCCTTCTTCAGGTTCCGTGTGCGATGTAAAAAGAAATAGGCTTCTGTTTGTCACCTCCTCTGATGGAAAACAGTGTTTTTTTTGTTAAGGTGTGTGTGTTATG